TCTCATACTCCCACAAGATTTGTATATGAGATTGAACTTTATCAATATCAGCCCTACAAAAAAGTAAACTATCGTCAACAACAATAACAACAAATATATATATATATATATATATATATATATATATATATATATATATATGAGACACCCTTGGAGCTCTCCTAGAATTTGGACTCCCAATATACGACCATAATCAATTGCTAAAGACATGGCATATGACAACCCTTCGGCACATAAGAGAAAGAGAAGGGGAAAGAAGATCCCCCTACCTCAGCCCCCGTGTTGGTTTAATGAAGCCCCTGTGGATATCCATTAATTATGACACAGAATCTGACAGTAGTGATACAGGTTTTCATTAAAGTTACCCAATGCCCACTGAAACCTATCTTATCCATAACTGCTTATGAGATATAAATTTTGTAATTTGCAAATTTTGATATCAAAACGTGTCCAACTGAGTTGTAATTTTCGTTTTACTTTAAGTCTTGATGTCGGTAGCAAAACTATAAGTGTTGCAATGTGCGACCATACTTTGGTCCGATGAGAATATCATTTAGAACAAGTATGTGAGTGAGGAACACTTGTGAGTAGTTTTATAGTTGGGTATAAGAGTTTATGTTGGAAATAGCATTAAGCGAAGTCCAACTGTTTGCATTTCACTTTAGAACCGGTTGTATTTTTTGAGCAAAATAGCTTTCTAAACTTTTGCAACCGATTGCATTTTCTAGTCCAACTCGTTGCTTTTCCAACCGCTTGCACTTTGAAGAACTCAAACAGGTTAATTTTGCCTGAATGTGCGAAAAATCAGTTTTGATAACTTTTTAGTTTCCTATTTTTACCGAAACTTTAGGGCAATCCTTACACGATTTTGAAAACTATTTTTACCTATTGTATGAATTCTCTAAATCTATATAAAATCTTTTTCTCTATTGATTAATTAGGGTTTTAAATGTGAAAAATATTTTGACTATTGAGACCTTATTGAAAGTATTTTTCTACAAAAATTTACCTTGATTGTTTTGTATATATACATATACTTGAGAGCACACACTATTACACAAGAGTGATCTTAGGGTGATGTTTTCAATCTAATCAGAGTTCATGCATATTGAAGATTCAATCAATTTCGTTAGAAAAGCAGGGTTTCTCTTTGTCTTCGTCAATTCAGATTTGAAGAAAATGAAGAATTGATCGAGCTACGGACGGGTTAGGCATTCGTGGAGTGTTCGTGATCTACCAACAACCCTTCTACAAGGAATGAGGAGTAAGCCTAGAGTCTGCAACAATCGGATGGGGAGTCATGATAATAAGCTTGAGATATTTAGCAACTAGTCCTTGGAAAAGCGAAGTGGGTGAGTCTGAGTCAGAATCTGTTGTACTTTACTTCAAAAATAGTGGATCGTTTCGCTCGAGACGGAGAAAGTCTTAGTGGTTTTCATCTCGATTGGTCGGATTTCTTCCAACTAAGGTTTCATCCATAAAAACCCGGTGTCATCTCCCAAACTTTATTTACTTTACTTACACTTTATTTTTGTTTTGTGAGTTTTATTTTAGTTTTATTTCGATCGATAAAATTAAAATAATTTAAAAATTAAATAAAAGAGCAAGTAAAATCTATTCACCCTCGGTTTGTTTTTACATTAAAATTCCACATCTATCTGCATAGTGCAACTCACAATTGTACCCAAATAAGTCCACTCAACCCTGACATACGCCTTGCAAATATCCCAAATTGAGCGCCATAAAAGCATCTGTACCACCCTCCTGCTTTTTCAAACAATGAATGATCTCATGAGCTACTAAAATATTATCAAAAAATCAACCTATCTGGAATATTAAAAGCGCCTGGCCTGCTCTGTTTTCACTACCTTGTCCAACAAGGGGCTTAACCTGTTAGCCAAGACTTTCGAAAAGATCTTATATACCACGTTACACAAAGTTATAGACCTGAACTCAGCCACTTTGGTTGGGTGTTTAACCTTCGGAATAAGGACCATTTAGTGTGGTTGAGCCTTTTAAGCATCCTCCCCGTAATCACAAAATTATTGAAAGCATTGATGACATCTTGTTTCACCACCTCCCAATATTTTTGGTCGAATAGAGGAGTCATACCATCTGATCCAGGGCCTTTATGGGATCCATTTCTAAAAGTGCCATCTATTTCTTCTTCTGAACCTTGCGCAGTTAGATGTCTATTGTCCTCATCACTTATCAAAATTGGGATTTGCTCAATAAAATCCTTAAAATAAAAACTGTTATTTAAATGATATAATTGTATGAAATACCTTTCAATAATCCCATTGATTTGACCCTCGTCCTCATTCCAATTCTATTCAGCATCCTTAAATCCTAGTATAGCATTCTTCCTTATTCTCTGCTGAGTTTTAGCATGGAAAAACCTGGTATTACAATCCCCTTCTTTCAACCAACTCACCCAGCCCTTCTGTTTCCAGAATAATTGCTCATCCTTCCATAAATCAGCCAGCATTCTTTCAGCTTCTTTGACTCTGTCTCTATTAAACTCTATTAATTCCCTTAAAAAGTTTAACTCGGCCTGTCTCTTCAATCAATTTTCTCAAATTTTTATTTTTGGTTTTACTCCAATTTTTAAGAGCTATTTTGCACGATGAAATTTTACTTTTCAGCTTTAACATCAATGTTCCTTCTTCCCCATTCTGCCATGCTTGTTCCACTAATTTGCTTCAATCTGGGTCCGCTACCCAACGGGCATAAAACATAAAACTTTTTCCCCCTCTTCCGAACACCTTCTCTGTCCACTAATAATGTTATATAATAAGAACCCAACATCTGAACATGGTGAAAAATAACCGTGTCAAAACTTCTCACCCAATCCAAATCACCAAACGCTCTTTCCAGGCTCTCTTGAATATTAGCAGCTCCTGATCGTTGATTGTTCCAAGTGAATGGGTAACCTCTAAAACCCAATTCCATCAATCGACAATAATCAATAAAAGAATTGAAAACTCTGAAAGTCCACTGAGGCCTATATCTCCCACCCTATTTCTCCCCCATGGATCTAGTATTGTTAAAATCCCCCACTATAAGTTTATTTAAACATTCCTCCCTAATCACGTACTCTACGACTATACTCCCATAGTGTTCTATACGTTTAGAATCAACCGTAGAGGCATACACACCTCCAAGCACCCATTTCAAATTCTTCACCTCATCATTCATAGTAGCAATTAGACAAACCTCCTCCACACTATCCACAACCAAATTCACCTCGTCGCACCAAAGGAGTGCAATTCCACCAGCAATACCAATAGGCTCAACAAAACCCAAATTCTCAAAACCAATATGTACACCTTTTCCAATACCCAATTCTGATTCTTAGTCTCCATTGGAAATAGGATATGGGGGTATAGGTCATGCCTTTTAAGCTGTCCGACCGTCAGGGGGTTCCCCATATCCTGACAGTTCCAAGAAGGAACTCTCATTGATCCACATAGGCTATCAAATGTAGAATCCCTGTTTTGATGTCTTGAAACTCTGAGATGGAGAGGTCCAAGGTGTGACCGACTGTCAAACCAAAAATTGAAATTTATTCTATTATCATTTTCAAGCTTCATAAGAGATTCAACATCATATTTAAACTGAAGAAGCTTCCACAGGTCCAAAAACACTAGCCAGTTATGTTGGAATTCCCAAATATTCATTCTTCTCAGTAACTTGGACAAATAAAAAACCTACCAAAATGGCATATGCTAGTATAGGATTTGAAATTGTACTCCAAACTCGAATATATATATATATATATATATATATATATATATATATATATATATATATATCACAATGTATGACACAATTAACCGTCATGTCAACCAAATTTATTGGTCGACGTAAAGTGGAGTTAATTAATATAAAAATTGATTATTCCGTCACAATTTTTTGCAATATTATGGTAGAAAATGTTATTGGTTCAAAAATATAATATCCAAAATGAGAGAGTATGAATATAATAATTCTATAACTATTAAATACTCCATTCGTCCTAAAAAAAAAAACGTCCATCTTTCTTTTTTGGACTATTCCAAAATAATTATTCACTTTTTTTTTTCAAAAAATATATTTCACATCTTTTCATATATGTTTTTAGAGTTTAAAATTTTAAAGTTAAATATTTAAAATTTAAAATGACAAATTATTAATTTTTGAAGGGACAGTGCATGTCCCACATGTCTTTTTAAAATTTTATACTTTTAAAAAATATAGGATTTTTTTTTGACATAGAGAGAGTAATATATATATATATATATATATATATATATATATATATATATATTTACAAGTGGCTTATGAAAATTTATCACTGCCAATTGGCGGGTGAAAATTTGTCACTATCAACTGTTATTTAGACATTAAAGTTATATTTTATCCATTATCCATTTGCCCACCTATCGTGTACTGCACTCTCTCTTGGCTAACTTTATTGTCAATAGATAATAAATTAAAAGCAATGTTTGCATCCTACGCAGGTCAGAGGGTGAACTTCATCCTCTCTACTGACGTGGTCATCTCCCTTACTGACACCTATTTAAAATAAAAAATAATAATAAAACATGGGCAATGCCCATTTATCCGGGTTAAACCCGTTTCTCGTAATCACTTTCTTCACATGTACTCACAGGATCACTCAATTCAAAACTACAAGTCCAACAGTTTAGATATAACTACAAACACCAAGAAGAAACTCTTGTGTTTTATGAAACAAATCTCAACACATCAACCACTTTTAATAAAATGAAGCAAGCTCAACTCAAAATCAAATCAATAGAAATTGGTATTTTAATAAAAATTGAACTGAAACCACAATTGGAGGTAAAAACATGGCAATTTCATTAAAAACCAGATATTTGCAATCCCATGACATAATCACAATTACACCAATTCAAAACACCTAATATTGCTAACTTCTAAAACCACCATATACAAAACAACTTACTTCTAAAAACCCACCAAATTATAACTAACAATCAACCACCAAATCCATACAGAGTCCTACTTTGCCTCTTCAAAGCATAAACTATGTCCTTGGTAGTCACCGTCTTCCTCCTGGCATGCTTGATGTAGGTCACGGCATCGCAAATGACGTTCTCGAGGAAGATCTTGAGAACTCCATGAGTTTCCTCGTAAATCAGCTTACTGATCCTTTTCACACCACCTCTTCTAGCCAGATGGTGAATCGCTAGCTTCGTAATGCCTTGGATGTTGTTCCGGAGAACTTTCCGATGACGCTTGGCACCTCCCTTTCCCAAGCCCTTTCCGCCCTTGCCTCTTCCAAACATTTTTAAAGAGAGAGAGAGAGAGAGAGTCAGATATAGGGTTTTTGAATTAAAGGATTGAGTTCCAATTCTGTGTGTTGTGGGATTAAAACTTTCAGATATCTTTTTGAAATGCAAGCAGATTAAAGATTAAGATGGAGAGAGAGAGAGAGATTGGAAGATTAGAATGGGTTTGTTACGGTGAATTGAAGGACTGAGTTGCAATTAAGTTGTATCGTTGAGAGAAAGAGAGAAATAAGAGAGTGATTACAAGAAATGGGTTTAACTCGGATAAATGGGCATTGCCCATGTTTAATTATTATTATTTTTTTGGACAAGTGTCAACAAGGGAGAAGGCCACATCAGTAGGGAGGATGAAATCCTTGCGCAAGATGCGAGCGTTGTTTATAAATTAATATTCTACAGTTATGTATAAGATTCACAATAGTAACAAAATTTAAGGAAATTTTAATAGTATTAAAATTTATTATGGATAGAAATGAACTACACCAATTTGATCAAATTTGTCTCATTAGAGAGGAATTTGATTCTTAAAATAATGGGCAAATTACACAAAATGTTCATGAGGTTTTCATATTGTGCAGCTATATAGAAGCTGGCGTGATATGTTAGTCAACTATCCCGTGGTCACATTGACTTTGCATATAACCTCCATCAATGAGCTGAGCATCAAATCAGTGTGGGGGTAAAAAAATGTTTGGACAAAAATAACCTTCTTGATGTGAGAAGACCAAATTGTCCATTCATGTCATGTCTTTAACCGGACAAAAGTACCCTTCTATTTAGATTACTGTGACCGACTTACTATCAATGCCATTACCGGCCAGTTAAATGAATGTCAAATATAGTGGTTGTCATCTTTCTCATTGCAAAACGTTGTTCTCTCCCTCTACTTCAGGCCCTTCTCCTTGATACTTCAGGAAATCTCTCATTTATTTATTCATCAAAGAGAAAGGCCTGTTAATGGATCACATATCGTTGAAGTGTTACAAGTTCCGTGAGCGGAGGGATTGCAATTTGTTGGAAACGGGGGCATTAAAAACATAAATATTGGATGAGAATTGGAATAGATTCCGCTAAGAATTTTTTGTGGATCTATAGACGAACGCGTTCCTCTCCGCAAGGAGATGAACGTGGTATATTTACTTTCTCAAAACTATTTCCAGGTGAATGAGAAATTAGATCCAAAGTGAGGTGTTTGATAAGCCTAAATGGAAAAAATGTTGAAACCAATTGAAGTTTAAATAAGTCAAGCTTGGGCTTGGATTTGGACTTGGGCTTGGGCTTAGGCCTAATTGTAAAGTCCGGTTATTCTTTTTACTAAATAGAATTTTGGATTGGGCTTATTTTTGGGCTGGGCTTATTTAAATGGGTTTCACAAATGGTTGGTTTTTTGGGTGGTTGGTTTTTTGAATTTAAATTAAAAAACCACTTTTTAGTTTTTTACAAAGGGTTGCACATTTTTCCGAACCATCATAACCCATGGTTGCACCCACCCGAAAAGGCATCTTACAACCTATAAATACCCCCCTTTGGATCATTTGCAAATCACACCAAAATTTAAAGAATTCTTCTTTTCTTCTGAATTTTCTTTATCCTCATTCTCTCTTTACTCTGTGGGTTCGAGCCTTAGTATTTGGGTTTGAACCTTAGTCAGTCAATCCGAGTCCGAGTTCGAATCAGAGTGTCCTACACCGAGCCGGTTCGCCTATTCCTTTGGTTTGCAGTGCTACTACCGAAGGAAGACAAGTCGTTGTATCCTGGGAGATAGATGCCACTGAGTCCGTGAGCACTATAGCGGGGCGAATATGTCTTAAGGACATAGAATCAAATTCTAGCCTCGACTTTTAATCAGGTTCCTTTATTTTATATTTTTATTTGATTATATTAAACTTTGTATTATAATAAATTATATAATTATAGATTATTATTTTATAATAATAATTTTATATATATATATATATATATATATATATATATATATACACATTATATTTTCAGATAATATTTAAATAAATAATACTATAGTATATAGTATAATTAAACCATATTTTGGACTATAATCTTAAGACAGATTCTGATTATATTATAGTTTAATTATTTAAATATTATTGTTATTGTATTTATGTAAATTTGACTGTGGTTTGTATATTTAATATATATAAGACAAATGGCAAGTACAAGTACTACAATGCCTAATGTTCCCGTCAGTCATGGGGAGAAGCCCGAAAAATTCAATAGGGCGGAGTTTAAGAGGTGGCAACAGAAAATGATGTTATACCTTACAACTCTGAATCTAAACAAGTATCTAACTGAAACTGCCCCAGTGCTAGATGAGTGTGAGACTGACATTACCAAGCTAGGAGCTGTTGATACATAGAAGCATGGAGACTTCCTATGCAAGAACTACATCCTCAATGGATTAGATAACACTTTATATAATGTGTACAGTCCAATAAATATTGCTAAAGAGCTCTAGGAGTCACTAGACAAAAAGTATAAAATAGAGGATGCTAGCTTGAAGAAGTTCGTGGTCGGACGATTTTTGGACTTCAAAATGATAGACTCCAAGACAATCATGAGCCAAGTACAGGAGCTCCAGTTGATCCTACATGAGATACATGCTGAGAATATGACATTGAGTGAATCCTTTCATGTAGCTTCAATCATTGAAAAGTTGCCACCTACTTGGAAAGATTTTAAAAATTACTTGAAGTATAAGAGCAAAGAAATGGGGCTCGAAGACCTGATTGTCAGGCTAAGAATTGAAGAAGATAACCGCACATCTAAAAAGAAAGCCAAAAATTCTTCAATGGTGTCAAAAGCAAATGTAGTGGAAGCTGGACAGAAGAATAAGAAAAGGAAGTACTTTGGCGAAGGTCCCAACCAAGGAAACTACAAGAGGTTCAGTGGGAAGTGCTTCATATGCGGCAAGCTAGGACACCGAGCTAAAGACTGTCGTAGTCGCAAAGCACAACACAACCCCAAGAAAAAGACCACTGAGGTGCACATTGCTGAGGAAGATAAGTTGGCAGCTGATGTGTCAGAGCTAAATCTTTCAGCTGTGGTTTCTAAAATCAACCTGGTGAGCAATAATAGAGAATGGTGGGTGGACACAGGAGCTACTCGTCATGTTTGCTCTGAAAAGAGGATGTTCACTACCTATGAAGTTATAGATAATGAAGAACAACTCTACATGGGGAACTATTCCACTGCAAAGGTTGAAGGACAAGGAAAGATCAGGCTACTAATAACCTCAGGGAAAGAGCTCACTCTTAATGATGAGCACTGAAAAGTGCACATTTAAATCCTTTAAGCTTGAGTGTTCTAGGACTTTTATCTATCTTACTTTCCCGTTTTAAACTAATTTCATGTTATTGCCGTTTTTAGGTGCTTATCCAAAAAAAAAGTCAATTCAGCCAAATAAGAGCATAATTGAAGCAATCTCAAGCTGAATGGAAAAAAGGAGCAAAGTGAAGCAAAGTATGGAAAGTCAGCAAGTTCGATCGATCTCAAAATATATTCGGTGGATCGAAAGTTCATCAATCTAAGCAGTTCAAGACGGATCTGAGCTTTTGTCCTTATCCACAAGATTCCACAAAGTTCGATCGATCTCAACAGTAATTCGATCGATCGAAGTGCTCGATCTTATCCACATGTACTACTTCAGCTGCTACTTTTGTCTTCTTCCAAAAATATCTCAAAATATCTCAGAGATTTGTCCTTATTCAAAAAGGCGCCGGCATAGATGATCGATCTCTACAGTATTCGATGGATCTCAGCCATGTTCGATCGATCTCAGACATGTTCGATCGATCTCACCACAGTTCGATCGATCGAACTTCCTCAAGCCCAAAAAAAGACAAAATCCAGCTCATTAAAGGTTGGCTCATGGTGCAATCATTGGAGAAATATTGATGTGTAAGCCCAGACCATTGGGTATGACATTTTAACCTACCTATATAAGGAATATGGGCTGTTCTTGAGAGCATACTTGACATAACTTACATATTGTATAACATATTCTTGGAGAGGAGGCTAGAGACATTCTTGAGAGCTCATCCATTCTTCTAGGGTTTCCATCAAGAAGGAGTTCATGCCTACTATGGAGATAGCCCTTGAGGGTTGGATGACTACTTCAATGAGTGGCTAGACATCTACTTGGGGCTAGAGTAGCCCCTAAGTTTGCTTCCTAGACTTAGTTCTTTGTATACTTTTGGGGATCTATTTGTAACAAATGTTTTGATCTTGGATCCATATATATATCTTGTGATTTCTACTTGATGTGTATGGATTAATGCTTCCAATTGATTATCTATCTCTAACCATATGTCTATGTATGCTAGAATGGATGATTCATGTACTTTTCTCTAGATTTAGTGGAATTTATGCATGTCTATGTGTAAGAATGAAATTAATCTAGAGATGGTCAAAACATAGAGCTTAATGGAACACTCTTGCAATTTATTTGATGGTTCACACTTGTTTCTTGATGGATTGTGCTACACCTTTAGTTTACTTATTTTAATTTCCATGTCTTTAGTGTAGATGTAGTGTAGTTGCTTAGATCCATAGATAGGTCGACAATCTATTCTTGTTCTTTGTTGTTCCATGCTTATGAATGTAAAAAGTGTATGTTTCTAGATGATAATGTGTGTGCACAAATTGTGGTTTCATTGAGTGGATGATGGTCTCATTTGATAAGTTGTGCTTACCATCTCATTCGGCATGATAATTTATGCTTATTTGCCTTCCATGCTTTATTTCAATTTATGACACACACACACAAGTTATAATTCAATTTCCCCATTAATATATAAGTGCCAATGTCTAGTGAAGTCAAGCTTAGTGGTGAGCTCTAATACCCTAAGTCCTCTCCTCTATATCTTTTCCCCTAATATTTCCATTGTTATCTTTATCTTGCTTTAATTTTAGTCGCATAGTAGTTTAATTAATCCGAACAAATCTCTCTTGATCACTCGACTTATTAACCCTATCCTTGTTTACAT